AGTGGTAGTGGTAGTGGTGGTGGTTGTAGTGGTCAGCAGTGGTCTTGGTATCAGGTAGCAGCAGCAGCAGCAGGAGGAGGAGGAGTAGTACTACTACTACTACTACTACTAGTACTCATAATATGAAGCACAGTTGCACATCACAGGTGGCACGGTACCAACCTACTTACCGGACAGTCCTTCCAGCGTGGGACACATCGTGGCTCCGCCGCATCAAGACCTGCCTTACAGACAGCAGATAGTGTGAGCTTCAGAGTCAACGCTCATTTGATCTTGACTGGCAACTGCTAGCCTCTCAGCTGACCAACAAAACAATCCAGTCGACAGCCTCCATGCCACAGCTTTGGCGGCTTGCTCTGTCAAGGCTGGCCTGTAAAAGAACAAGGGGAAAAGGATTGGAAGCAGCTGCCAGTCCTTCCCAAGGACCAAATCGCCAACGCTGATATCCAGGTTCAGTCTACAAGCTTTTGGGGGACAGATGGCGTCAAGTTCCAGTGGCCTCAGGGCTGGAATGTGTCCGGCTATGCCATGCAAGAGATTGGACGTGATGCGTGCGGAACCTGGTAAGATTTCGTTAAAAGCGAGGATACATCTTAGGGAGCCGATGCTCTGCTGAGCGTTAGGACCTGGGATTGGGGCCCTGCTGCCTCGGCAAGTCGCAGCTCATCAGTGAGCCGCACTTCCTGCGGCACACCCTGCATTATGACGCCACTCAAGCAACAGCACAATGCTAAACCACGAAGCTGCTTGGCTGACTGACAAGAAACTCAAACAGACTGCCCTAACGAGCGCTACATCAGAAAATGAAGAATCCTTTCACTCGTGACTGGCCTTGTCTGATCTTACATGTCAAAACTGGCAGATAGCGCGGAGCATTTACATGACTGGCTGGAAAGACCTGGACACGTCTAATCTCGCCCGGGTGCACTGAATCAAAAGCTGACAGTAACCGGCAGAACTTAATTGCAAACCTTGCAGCGTGCTCATCAGTTTCGATCTTCAGTGTTGCTCATTTGCTATCGTAACCTCGTGGGAACGGTTTTAACATGCCCTTCCCTGCCATTATAACAAGGAGAGTTGCAAAGCAGAAGCCTTGTTTCCAATCCACCCTGTTCTGAAAAGTCCTCCACTTTGGCCTCTTCTAAGCGTGCCTCCAGCCTGCCAAGATGCATCCACTCGGCTTGGCTTCCAGGACAACAGTTGATGTAGCTCGGAACGCTAGTGATCTGATGTCACATCCACAGCATTGGGATTAGAGCTCCTCACCCGGTAGTGACAAACGGCCTTGAAGTTTCTGTTGCAAGATCCCGCTGGGTCTGCAGGAGGTGCCGATGGCGGTCCTTGCACTCAGCGAAATACTTATGCAGAACATGCGAGCATGCATGCAGGCAATGGTCTGCAGTCCTCGAGGCAGTAATGCTCGTGGGAGAGGCTGGCCTGACCAAGCAAGACGTGTGGGCTGCCACTTGGCTGCAGGCTCGGTCTGTGAGAACAGGGCTGGAGCAGCAACATCGCTCCGAACATTTGCAGGGCCTCCGTTCCGAAACTTTACCACCTGTTTGCCTCGGTTTGTCTCTGGACACCCAGCTGCTGCCAGTCAATCGTGTACCTTAGCTGAACGACAATGGCAGGATGGCAGAGAATCTCTAGCAGTTCAGCTTCTTCTAGGTTCAGCGTCAACTGCCACGGAAATGCTGAACTAAGAATACCAGGTCATATGTAAAAGCTGTTGGCATACTTGTCTTAATTCTCGCCGGGGTACTCGGTCAGCTGGAGGTTCAAGTAACGGATCCGCTCATCCTGCTCCATGCTGCTTCATACAGGATGCTGCGAGGGCTTAGTGACGCTCTATTCAGCTGTCTGGACCATCAGCAAGATCTGAATCCCGAGTGAAATTCATGGATTGAGTGAACAAGCCTGTGCCCATGGGTTCACAAACCCTCGCAAAGCAAGGCAACTGCAGCCACACTGAATGTTTCGACACGACCTCCCATGCACTTGAAGCACGCTGCCGCCACAGTCTGCTCCTTCATTTGGCACTGCTGCTTCCAGTGGCTTGCCATCATCCTCCTCTGCTCTTGATGGAACCGTACAAGGTCCTGCAGGCTTCAGTGGTAAAATCTTCGCAACTCGCAGCAGATCATCAAGCGCTCAAGCCCCTCGCATCCCCTCGCTCTGCTCTGCGCCTCAGCGCAGACCACGCGCCGGTCCGCCAGCTCGGCATCCTTTTGCTGTTCCTGCAAGCAGGCGTCCGTCTCTCAATTGCAAAGACATGGCTCTAAAGCTTCATCAGCCTCCAAGGAGAGCCGAAGAGAGTCAAGGCGCTCGTTGTGTTGCTCCTGCCAAGCATGGCCCAAAAGCACCAGCGGCGCTTGCACAACACTACCTGCATCTACCTGCAGCCCAGACAGTTGCCTGCTATCAGAATTATTGGTATTCGCCGAAGCACAGACGCAGCTCTGCAGACCAAGTCTCCGACTTTCATGGCCTTGAACTCGGCCTGCAGGCCCAAAAAATCCTGACGGGAGCTCTCTGAGGCTATTCTGCTTCCCAGTTTTGATTGTCCCTTGATTGCAGAATTGAAGGTAGCTTGCTGCTGAGTCAAGATCTGGATCTCAGCCTCTGCCATAGCTTCGTGCTACTGCACAGGATGCTATTCCAACTTTGCAGCCAGCACATTAGATTCCACAACCTCCCAGAGCAGCGTAGCCAATTGCAACGTCCCAAAAGTGCAAAATGTCCATCTAAAAGCTTGGGAAGCAACGCAAATCGCCCCCCCAACACACACAGACGCGAAGCAGAATGGACCTCCTGCGCTTGCATCACACGATCTTCGAGGACCTTACAACTTGGGAGACTTTCAGTGAAGCCTGACGTTCCAGCATCGTCATGCTTAGATGCATGCACGAGAATGAGAAGAAAACCCTTCTCACTCAATCTCTGCCATCAAAAGCACTGTAGTCACCATGCAGACCAAGCCATAAAACCCCAAGTTATCAGTGCACTTAAGCTGCACTCCGAGCATCCAACTGATTGCAAAACAGCCAAGCTTGCCATTGAGCAAATGCACTGCGCACAAGGTCCGGATGCCCGGCCTCGTTCTCTGCACGCAGCGCGCCTGCCTGCAACTTGGCCTCGAGCCTGAGAATCACAAATTTCGAAACTTTAAAGATCATGCAACCTGCTTTGAAGATAAGGACTTTGGAAATCAACTTGTGCTAACACCCTGCTGCTGCATGTCATGTCTTCCTGCATCCTGAGCAGCTGAACAGAAGTAGTGACAAGAAATGGATCGACCGCTCGCATGCATTGGACCAAGTCACCCCGTTCCATCGAACATGACTGTAAGTCATAAGAATCGCTCGAACTAGCTCAGCTCAAGACTCTGCCTGTCTATTTCGCAGGGACCTGTTCTGCCAGGGGAAGTATCATGTTGCCGTGAACTTGAATTTGAAGAATCCAGGGTCTGGTACTCCTGCCTGGACATCTCGACCCTTCTTGAAATGCTGAGGAAGATGCAACTGAAATCGGTAACCCGCGAATCTGTCCCAACATCAGTGCCTGAGCCTGCTCTCACGATCTTGGGACACCTCGGTGGCTGCTCCTGCTAGTTTCAGTAAATGCTTGTGGAAAGCGGTGCGGCCTGTAAGCTCTCTCAAGGTGCAAGTACGATCTGTATCAGGCCTGCTTCGGCATTTTCACCAGGAAGCTGAATCTCCTGTCTGTGAAAAGCATTGTCCCAAGTATTGGGGTTGCTTGCCTGTGGCCTTCCAGTCTGCTTCCTACCCGATTGTTTCTTTGCCTCGATGCCAGGTGGCGACTCTGTCGGCTGCAACGGCGGGGTCGTCGGAGACTAAGTTCAACAGGGCAAAAGTGCATTTCGTTTGTTACCAACGACATCGAAACTTCGGCAATCACATCAATTCATGGTTCCAATATGATGTGGGCCACAATTGCCGCTAATTTGCCGTGAGCAAGAACAACTAACCCTAACAATTCAAGGCAAGCAGCGACAACTTGACCCAACAAATTCCAGGTCGAGCTTGTGTCCTGATGCAACATTTTTCGCAAAAATCATTGACATGTTGTTGATGCAAGCGAACATTTTGATTCACTGGAACTTAAATCAACTCCAACAACCAACTGATCAAGAGTCACATGCATATCCTGCGCTGAATGTGACACACTCAAAAGTCCTCTGAAGGAAAACGAATATCAACCGTCAGAAGTGTTGAAAATCCAGACTTGTTGCGCACCTCTTCTGCGAACAGGCCCTGCTGGTAGTAGAACAAATGCATCTGGCGGTTGAGTCTTTTGGTGTGTTTTCACGGATGGCGCTTATCAAACATCTTTCCCATGCATGCTGGCCAAGCCATACATCTTCCAATGCGACCGCTGCAGCATGAAAGCATTTCCCCCTTGCACAAACAAGCCAACAAACCAGGGCAGCGGGAAAATTGCCGCGGCCACCCTCCATCCCCTGCACGGCAAAACACGCTCGTTCTTGCATTAATTCGACTATCAGGATTCTCAACCAGGTACGAACATCGCACAAAGCAGTAACCGATTTGAGGTCGTGGCGCCAACTGATCATGACGAAGTTGATCACGAGCTAACAGACCATGAAGACGGCCCAGCAACCAGATGATTCCGGCGAATCACACACATCCATCGGTTCTGTTTGCGGGACTGTTTGTGCTATCTGCCAAATGTATCCAAATGTGTGGCCCAGGGATGCATTGCGAAATTCACCTACGCAGCTGCCAACGTTACACCTTCAGCGGCAATTGATCTTGAGCGCTGTATATGCAAAACAAATGTGAACGCTGAAGAACTTTGCTGAACGCGCTCTTGAACATACAGTGCTGCATATACAGCATCGTGAATGACCAAACCAGAACGCAGTCAAAGCGGTAAAACAAGAACTAAACAAGAAGAAGACGCAGCCCATTTATTCTCTCAAATGATAAAGGCATCGTTTGTGCGTTGCAAGCAAGTAACTAAACTTTCGGACTTGTCGAAATATCAAAAGCTCCGCAATGGCTCAACATTATGTGATTACCATACGCATTAATTCGTTTCATTGCTCCGACCATACCACTTCGGAAATACGAACATCATGTTGTGAAAAGTATTTGCATGTGCAAGCCCCAACCGTTGCACCAACAAAACAACGTGCAACTCGCGCGCAACACTCTGAAGCACCGCTCCCAAGCTTGAACCTTGTGAGAAACTACCAACTACGCCCCCCAACAATGCCATGTTCAAGCCCATGCAAGAACACCACTGTGATTTCCACGATTCATCTTAACGTGCTGGTCATGTGGTTCGAGGCTCTTCAAGCTAGATGAATGCCGCGCCACTATGGACTCGATGGCATCTGCCGCTCTGGAAGCTACAAACTCGACTGCAAAACTCAAGGTTTGAAAACAAAATTACAGGACCGGAGAACCCCACATGTGTAGTTTAACCCGAATTGAAGTGATATACTATTAGGAGACCGTCGCCCGGCGCTCCTTGAGATTTGCGCATATATGTATATGTATATGATCATGTGTACATTTCGCATATGGTTTTTTGCCATACTAAGTATACGATGATATATATATGTATATACCTATATTCAATAATTACAGAAACGTGGGCTCGCGCGCGCGCGGGTGTGTGTGTGTGTGTGTGTGTGTGTTTGTCACCCTCTGTACGAAAGAGTTTGTAATCTACGATGGTTTAACATGTCATGCCAACTGGAATTAACGTGAAAACAAACCATGTTGCAGGGGTGTCCGTTTCCTGAAGCACCTCGGGAGATGGGGCACATCACTTGGCCATCTCTAACAAAGCTCCAGTGATGATGTCAGGATATGGGATCTGATCAATCCCACGTACCTGCAAGGCAGCCCCCTGTAGTGCCAAGATTAGAAAAGGACAGCCCCCTGTGGTGTCCAGATTGGCATCTTTGCGTAGGTTTACAGGCCATGTACAAACATGTTCTGTTCAGTTTTGCTGTGCATGGTTTCCGTGCAAAGATTTCAGACATGTCAGTCAGTGCATGTCATTTGGCTGTGCAGTAGATCCAACAGTGATGCTGATGCAGCAGTTGTGATGGTGATGGTTCGGGACGCGTCTTGGTCAGCCAGCAACATGCAAGCCTCAAGCAAGTTCTTTATGAGATTCTATCCAGCGAGAAAGTCCTTGCAACATCGGAAGACAAGAAAGAGAAGTCGAAAGAGAATAAAGAAAATTGCAGTGGCCACCCATTAGACCTCGTGGTCTGCGCGCATGTGTGTTCACTGTGGCTTTCCCTCAGGGCGCCACCTTAGTGGGGAGTTGTNNACACGATGAAACCAACCGAAGCTTTTGATTTCTTCTGACTTCCAGGCGACGGGAAGAATTTCTTTCTGAAAGTAAACTGATTTACCTGCTTGACGCTCAGGTCATGAAAGTTCTGAAACAAAGATTTGATTTCTTCGCTGAAGTTCAGCTGAAACTATGTTGATTCCTTCGCAGAAACTGGCTACGCACTGCAATTAAGGCCCAAATTCTTGCTCTTCAACTACTGTTCTTACAATTCGTGAAGATGTTCCCAACCAGAGGAACACGACCTAAGTCAGCGACGCCGGTTCGACCCAGTTGGCTTGCGAATACACCGGCAGGGTCCGGCGCAGGGGTTCCACCACCCAACAACCCTCCCATTCAAAATGTGACCTCGGGTCCTATGACTACTTCGATTCAATTTGCTAGTGAGGAGCAGTTCAACAGGCATGGATACAATGTGTTGTACCAGGCACATGCTGCAAGCGTACAATTTGCTCTTATGAGTATTCAGCTTGCTGCTAATCAAAACACAATGATGCCGGTGATTCATCCAGTGTTCGGCCCTCAGAGCAGCACGGCAACTCCCGCAATTGCTGGACCAGTGCCCGGAGCCTTACTAGCTCCGAACAGCTTCGGTAGGAGCCTCACTAGCTCCGAACAGCTTCGGTAACCCAGCGATTACGGCTGTAACATCGCCCGGGGCCCTTCAACCTCAAAGCAGTTTGGCAACTTCAGCTGGAATACAATCGGGAGCCCTTTGCATTCGAAGCAGTGCAACGCTCTCAGCAATTACTGCTGGATTATCGCCGGGAGCCCCTGAGATTCAGTGGCCATTCCTTAGAGACCCGTCATTGCCAAAGCAGGGCTGGCACCATAGCGGAACTCATCGCTTGTTACCACCACCATGGATTACCTTGGTCAG